TTCGAAACGGGTTCGTCGTCGGAGGTGCGAGTCTGCACGGTGGCAGAGAGTTTGTACATGTCGGGACGGAGCTTGTCGGCTTTGGAGTTTCCAGCGGCGTTGCCGGGTAGCGGGGCGGACATGCCGTATGCGGACGGACGGTAGGCTCCAGTTGGGCGTGTAGAGAGACCGAGCTTGTGCATGGCGATGAAGAATAATGGGCGGAGCGTTGCAAGGCTACCGGCAGTGATAGCGAGACCTTGTTCGACCGATGACCAGATGGCGATGTCGAGTGTGGACCCTGGCAGCATTAGTGCCCAGTACGACAAGGAGCGGTAGGGAGACATACAGAGGAAGTCAGGAGAGTTGAAGTAGTGAACGAAAGGCATGCGCGCAATGACCGCAGCACTTGCGATGCACCCCATGGTGATCAACGGGATCAAAGCAACCTTGGTCCTCCTCTTCAACTGCAAGTGCCATACCAAGAATCCCGGAATGATGGCGAAAGTGAAGTCGGTGATGATACTGAAGATACTGTAGACGTAGCCGAGAGCGGTGATGACGGTGTTGTCAACGCACTTTCCTTCTTGCGAAGTACGGTCCCACATGTACGAGATTGGGTAGCACTGGAAGAGACAGACGAAGAAGAAGGTGCCTCCAGCGATGATCGAGACGCACATGGCACTGTAGATGATCCTGGTATTCTTAGTCAATGTTGTCACAAGTCCAGTTTGCGATTACTTACCATGTGTGTAGTTTCCGAATACTAATTCGCAGGAGAAGGAAACCGATGGAAAGCTTTGAACATATCATAGATATGGAGTAGAACAGATAGCAAAAGTACCACGCATGCTTCGCGTTTTGGACACCCTCGATGGGCAGGTCACGATGATGTTTTCCGGTTCCATAGTGTATGCCAATACAAGACGATGTGGTGTACGAAATGAAGAAGAGCTGAGGACCTAGTCAGATCGGGACCCAGTTATCGTATTAATATACACTTACAGTTGCGAGGACCATCAAATAGTCATCTCGGCCAAATGCCTTGACCATACAGAGGCGAACATATATCCTCAAGCAACAAGCCAGAACTGCAGTGGTGACGAAGGCGATGTTGACTGCGAGCAGCTCGGGGCCTCTGTTGGGAATAGCCATTGTGGTGTGGTATATTGACGAAGCAGTGGACACTCATACAGCGAGGAGGAGCCCCAGAATGAGCACACCGTTCGGTCGGTAATGGGGGGCTCAGGATCTTTTACGCAGCTAGACACTTGACCGAATAAGCAGGGTGGAGACTATAGAAGACACCGCATAATGGGTGCCGCCACGAGTGAAGTGGGTCTGCGGGCGGGCTCCCAGTACTCGTTCCAGGGTCTGGTCCGTTTCAAGGAGCGACCATTACCAACAGGGTCGTTGTCCCGCGGAGCTCGGACACGGGACTATGGATTTGGCGAAGTCGTTCATGCGTTGACAGGGCACTCGGGGACGCGTAGAAGCTGACGGCAGTAGTGTTGACTGCCGCAAACGAAATTGTTCATTGAACTCAAATAGGGACATGACGGAGGGAGGGGATAGGAGATCAGCGTACACATGTGCAGCAGCTGGGCAGCCTCGTGCACATGGCTGACTTGTACCTCGCATAGGCTGGGACGCCACCATGGCTGGAAGGCAGCTCGCAGTAGCGAAACTCAAAAGCGCTGCTTGGGGAACGGCAGTGGTTGTTCTGTCCTGCTTTTGGCGGTGCCTAGATGCGTCCCGCTCGAAGGAGTTTCGCGATGTTCACCGGCCACGTGAAGGCTAGCCGAGAAGGGGATTAGTCACCGAAAATCTCGCAAGGGCTGCATCTTCCGTGCCTTCCGCTTCGCAGCTAGCTCCGACGCCCACTGACAGCCCTGGAGTCAACACTCAACCTCACAGACTCCTCGGAGCTCCCACTTGCTGCCGCTGATCGGCTGCATCATCGCGCAGTATCTCTTTAACCGTTGGTTTCAGCTATTCTACGCTGACTGCCGATTCTCTCGATGAGGAAGTGCTCTGCACGTCTAAAGACGGGAACTTGTAACCGCTAGCCGGGCGGTTCCTGAACCTGCGTGGAGCCCCACTGAAGGTTTGCGAGAGCGAGAGTCCGCCGACACCGCCAGCCATTCTACGACGATAGATTTTGTGGCTTTTGACGTTCAATTGTATAAGTCAAGACTGTCGCCAGATGTCGCCAGACTAATCAGGTGCCTCGGCTTCCTCACATTGAGTCTGCAGGGTTTCACGAGTATCTAGTGCGCGGACTGACTCGTCGTCGCGGGCATCGGCACTTGCTGTAGGCACTGGAGGACCTGGATCTAGCTCAGCACTTGCATCATCGCCAGCGCTACTATCTCCCCTAGATGCAGAGTCCGTCGCACGAACAACCATAGTTCGCGACTGAAACCCAGACTTGGGATCTGATATACAACAACGGCTAGTCGTCCGAACGCCTGTCAATTGCCTGTCCAACGACTTCTGCTTCAATATTTCGACAAACAGGCATCGGGATTGAGTGCCTACGCGGGTAACGCTGGCTGGCAGGTCGATTCGTCTCGCAGGCACCATCCTAGCGATCAAAATTCCATATGTGGGCCACGAATCCACAGAACAATGGCGACATGAGCGTCGCATGCATCAGGGTAGCACAGCACTTCCAAATTCCTGGAAACAACTCCGCAACCGTTTATCTCCCGATGCCACGCCCGTCCGGTCCTCTCCAAGGCAGTTGGTCTCAGCTCAACGTTCTTCCCGTTTGGTAAGTTCGTCTCAAACTGCCGAGGAACGCTCAACCAGGCCTCCCAACGAAGGTTTAGGCGTCCGGCGGAGCACACTCCTGGGGAAAAACTCCGGCTTCCAAAGTGGCGACCGTGTATTGGAGAGCGGAGAGTAAAACGGTGTTCCCCTGCGAGTGCGACGAAGAAGTCTTCATACCCTTGGCCTGTTGAACCCACCTTCGAGCCGCCCCATCGCCGCGTTCGTGCAACCCTTGCAGTCGGGAGCAACGATCCTATGGTTGACTGGGTTGGGTGAAAATCTTGAACATTTCTGGACGACGCTCGCAAGGTTCAGTCATGGCAACAAACTTTGGTTAAAATGTGAGTCGGTACCTGCTGGTAACGGACGAACTTGCGGGTTTGGTGTCTAGTTCGCGCTTATGTCCGACGTCCTGGTATCCGTATATGCGATGGCGGCCGTTATGCTTCAAACCAATCTACTCAAGGCAATACGTCAGATATTTGCTAGGAGACTGACAATCGAAGCAGGTAAGTGATGTGCTCCAACATACGTAGTCACGATGTAGGTACAGCGACGCCATTCAACATGCGGACATACTGGAGGCCTTGCCGTCGCCTAGTCCCAATGCGATTTCTGATGCAGCTGCCACGGCTGCTAAATCAGGAGGCGAATATCACAACCCGAACGAGACACGGCAACCCATCATCAAATGAACTGCCGATCTTGTAAGCTGTACCAAAACGAGGTATCCATACACACGCGAACAAATGATCTACACAAGAAGCATAACATGAACATCATCACCCTCCAATCCAAGTACATCCACTCCGAAGGGGATCGGGCTGCACTGTTGCATTGCTGTTACGGCCGAACTGGAGTGAGATAACCCCCTCTTTCCGGGCAGGGCATTGACATGTGCCAAGCAAGAACACAGCCTTGCTTTTGCAGCACATCTTCACTTTCTTATCTCCAGATAGCACAACACACACAAGCTTTCACTTCTTGAAGTGAGTCCATACGATAACCTCCATGGTTGCTTCTTCGCATCCTTCGCCCTCCGTTTCCCATGATAAGCAATTTGCTTTTTCTTATGCATGCATGCGAATGCATATCACGCATATGTACATAGCATGCGCCAATGCGGCACAGTCTCGGGCGCATCAAGGGCACGACGCGCCCGCCCACTCACCAACACGAAGGCCCCCCGGAAAATCCTAGCGGCTACGTCCCGCAGCCGCCCCAATCACGACGGCCAGAATATTCTCCGCATTGCACCGCCGAAGGAATGCCGTGTGGGTGACAGCGGCTGTGGCGTAGGTGTTTCCCTTTGGTGGATTGAGATTACGCAACCGCTGGAGGACGGCTGTGCCACTGGTAGTATGTTTCGCGCACAGTGGAGACTTTGCGGCGTGGTTGGGAGGGTATTGTATATGAGAAGGTGAGTGCGAGGTACGGCGCACGCTGTGTGCTATGTACCATATCACGGATATCTTCGGACCGAGTATCACTCAACGCTTCAAACAAACGCACTGCGAGACCGGCTTACAGCGACACGTCAACTTGCGACTACACGCACATCAACACAGCACAACATGCAGACCATTCTCTCGATCGCAGGCCTCATCGCCTTTGCAACCGCCTCCCCACTACCCTCGCCTGAACCCTCAGAAGCCCTACCCCTCGTTACTCTCTCCCTCATCGGCTCACCCTCACACTACACCCTCGGTTCATCCCAAAACCCACAAATATCCACATCAACATCCAACAACGCATGGTCGATACATATACCCATCGACGTGTCTCTTGATCTCAGCACACGGCCCGAACACGTCCAGGCCATTGAGATACTCGGAGTAGAGCAGGGCACGGATCTGCAAGGAGGCGCAGTAGAGAGGGATGATGCGGAGGTGGTGTGTAAAGCGAGTTTGGGGTGGGGCAGTGAAGGGGTGGTTGTGAGGATGGGTGGGGAGAGGGTTTTGGTTGATGGGGGGAAGGTGGGGAGGGTTACGGGGGTGGAGTGTTGGAAGGAGAGGGTGTAGATTTGGGTATATGTGGAAGATGGGGATTGTAAGAGCGGGAGAGGGAAGTGATCAGCTTGCATCTTTTCCATTGCGGTGGCGTTTGATGTCCACATCCGCCTTGGAGCGTATACGTTGCTTTCGCTTCGTCTTCTACAGGCAGCCTTCTAGTCTAATAATATAATCCCTTTCAAATGTCTTGCTGACCTACCTCGCACGTACATCCATCATCATAATCTCCATTCCCTACGCCCTATAACCCTGCATCAGCTTCTCCACAATACCAACCCCCATCTGCTCCTCCTCATTCAGCGCTTCATCAGCCTTCTCCTCCTTCTCAGAAACAAACCCCTCCTTCCGCATAATCCCCTCCATCATCCTAATCCCCCTCAACTCCTGCAGCGGCGGAATATTCTCCACACCCTCGGGATCTATCGCGTCAAAGTCCACACCTTGGGTAGGCTCGACCGCACCCTCAATCTCATACAACTTATCCGGTGTAACAACAAAATCACACTGTACCTCTCCCTTCCTCGTCGGAGATACTGTTACCTTCTCCACACCCAGCGCCGCCTCATCAACAACCTGACAGTCATGCGCAACCGCCACAACAGGTGTCTTGTGGTGTAAAACACCTAGGTCCGATAACATCGCATATTGTATCTCGAATAGATTATGCCCTTCCCATATCGTCACGCCCTGCGCGTTGAACACCAGTCCCCCGGTTACACACAGATCTACCCGGAGCCCTTCATCGCGCATCTGCGCCAGCGACACCGAACGCCCTATCCCAGGCTTCTCCATGCCGTCTAGACACGCTGCGATTTCGTATTTCGTCTCCGCTATCCGGCCGGGATGCAACAGCACAAATCCCCTGCGCAGTCGGTACGTAGCGACGAGCACTTTTTTCCCGTCTTTCAGGGCGCGGCAGCGTAGGTGCTCGAGGCTGTTGTCGGGGGTTATGAGGATAGTGGCGGCGGATTTGTAGCAGGGGAGCGTGGTTAGGCGGGAGATTGCGGTGGCGGAGTTGCGGAAGTCGGGGGTGAAGGACATGTAGTCGTGGTTGAAGCGCGCGTCGGGGTGGGCGTGTTGGAGGAGGGTGCGGTAGACGGATGCCCAGATGAGTTTGCGGTTGGCGTCGTCATCGGCATCGGCATCGGGGGGATGAGGGGCGGTCATTGGGAGACGGGGAAGCGAGTGACGGGTGGCTAGAAGCCTGGGGGGATGTGGTGCTGAGAAAGCGAAGGGCGGCGTGGTGTACTGTACTGTATGCGCCGTGCCACGCCGCGGTCAATGGCGGGGATGATGCCTTTGTTCAAGCCCTGGAGCTGACTAACCGGGCCGCCTCATTGCCCGTCGTCTGCCATCATTCACCCTCTAACCTCTGGAAAGATGAACAACCGACTCACCGTCATCACTGCCTCGCGATGCATGATTGTCGCTTGAAGATGATGATGGCAGGATCCCGGCTTCACCCGCCCGCGCGTCATTGGGGTAAACTTCCCGCGTCGGCATGCGCTAAATCGGCTACATGATTAGGCCCGTTGTATTACCGAAGAGTCACATATCTCAAGGCCAAGACGCATGCATGGGAGATTTGAGCATTGTAGCTGATCGTCTAGGCACATATTAAATGGCAGCTTCGATGGACAAACATGACGAAATCGAGATGGGGACAGCGGCGACACCATCAAGCCGGTCGTCTATGGAAGGCAACAAAGGAACGATAGCAGAAGAGCGCATTACAGAAGCGACGAACATGGATTCAATCAACACTGGACCACCACTTCTCGATTCTCAAAAAACCAGTGAGCCCCTCGAAGCTGAGACATCCGACACAAGAGAAGGGAACAAGTCAACAATTAAGAAGAAACTTTCCAAACGCGCAAAAGCCCTCTCAGTCCTAAAATGGTTCATCAAAGACCAATGGTTCCTCCTCGCCATGGGCACCGTCGTCCTCATCTCCTCCCAAGTCCAAGTCCCCGCCTCCCAACAACGCACAAAACGAACCGTAATCACCTACCTCGCCGTATCCGTCATCTTCTTCATCAACGGCTGTACCCTAGACACCCGGGTCATGCTCGCAAACTACATGCGCTGGAAACTGCACATCTTCGTGCAACTCCAATGCTACCTCGTCTGTTCCGCAGCCACCTTCGCCATCGTCAGCCTATGTGCTACGAACCCCAAGTTCATGGACCCGTGGCTCTTGATCGGGTTTCTCTTCGTCGGCAGCGCGCCCACAACCATGTCTAGTAATGTTGTCATGACGCGGCAAGCCCACGGCAACGCAGCCCTCACAGTCGTGCAATCAGTCATAGGCCAGTTCCTCTGTCCCTTCCTCACACCGATAATCCTGCAAATGTACCTCTCAACCGGATCCTGGTACAGCAAAGTCCTGCAACGGGGGTCAGGCTACGCGGGCATATACCAGCGCGTCTTCATGCAACTCGGCCTCTCCCTCTTCCTGCCCATGCTGCTGGGCCAAATCGTCCAACGCCTCTTCCCCAAGCTCACACAAAAAGTCTTCTTCGAGTGGAAATTGCTGAAACTCTCCTCCATCGCCCTCCTAACAATGGTATGGCAGACCTTCGACCAAGCCTTCTCCTCGGGCGCCTTCTCAGCCGTCAAACCCTCCAATATCATTTTCATCGTCTTCATCACCATTGCGCTCTACTTTATCTGGCTGGCTATCTGCTTCGTCGCTGCCACTATGTGGCTGCCGAAGAAAGATGTGATTGCTTGTTGTTATTGCTGTCCGGCTAAGGCGCTGGCGATGGTGGTCCCGCTTACGAGCGTTATGTATATTAATATTGATCCCGTGGATCAGAGTAAGATGCAGATTCCGGCGATTATTTTTCAGGCGTTTCAGGTGGCTATTGGTGGGATTATGACGATTGGGTTTCGGAGGTGGGTTAGGGGGGAGGAAGAGAGGGAGGAGGCGGAGAAGAATGTTGAAGCAGGAGGGTCGAAATGAGCTTTCAAAGACGGGATTCTGCTGATGCATTGCACAAAAGACATTGAAACCATGCGCGAGCATCCGGCTTTTCTTTCCGTGGTCATCTATAGAAGTCTTGATTCCCCGCGACCACGGTACGTTGATCTTCTTCGCTCAGCCATCATCCTCTCTTCTCTCTGAATCGCAAAACAGTCCCGCCATGTTGTATATAGTAATCCTCAACGCCGATAATGCACAAACACCCAACCACCCAACCCATCATCCCTCCTTCATGCTCAAGTAATGCAGCAGCACCCATTTGGAATCTGTTCTCATCAGCCTTATCCCCATCCTCATCGTCGTTCTTCAATCGTCAATACATACGCATTTGCATATTCCAAGAAAGCCATCGCAAGGACACTCGATGCAAGAGACCGCTGCGGTGGTTCCATCTGCATTCCTGACCTCCTTGACGGATCGATTGAGACTGACCTGTTTTGGTGGTTAGTCAGGAAGAGTAAAGAAGATGTAAGATGTGAGAGGTTGGGAGAACGTACTGCAGCGGGCGACGCAAGCGCAACCGACGCAGCAACAACCGCGATGATAGCTGAGAGTTTCATGATGTCTCGAGCACAACCTGCAGATGCCAAACGTAGAATTGAGCGAATAACCCCAAAAGTGATGGAAGAGTCCCGAAAGCCAGGTATTTGATCGACACAAACAACAGCACCAAAAAGTAAGTAACACAAAGCGCACAACACGATACCAGCCCAGATCGACGAGCCCGGCTCTTAAACAGTAATTACTTCTGCCCATCAATCTACTAAACCCCCGCCAAGTCAGCCCATCCTAGCAAAGTCGCTAGCCCAGGTTCTCAAACTGTCCCTCATCAATTTCACATATTGCGTACGACATGGCACTCCGGTTCCCCGCGTGCGCGCCCTCGTGGCAGAAACCACGAGATTAATCTATGTCGCGCTGGGGGCGGCGACAAGCGGGCATATCGCCTAACAGGCCAGCCACCTCGGGACATGCGGAGTTTAGGTGCTACAGTACACAAATGCCACGAGCCTCGTGTATGCGCCGCTTTACCCGCAAGTTACCTCAACCAAGCCTTGATGCAAGTTGAGCGATAACCCAGAGCACCTATACATACTTTCGCCCCAGCCTGCACCATGCCAGAACGTGAACGCGACCCAAAACCGGCGCGTCACACGCCACCAAATTGTCAAAACTCGCGATGGCTATACGCGACAGGCGCTAGCTCCAAACTCTGTCGGTGACCACACCGCGTGTGCAGTAGTCGATGGTAGAAGCTGGAAAGGGCGACTGCATACTCGTATATGTACTCAACACTAGCTCCGGGCTGCGGTAAATGTAAATGCTCCAAAGTCTAGATTCTGCGAAACGCTGTTCGGTCGATGCCGGATCAGCGATAACAAACAATCACATATGCGCAGTCCGCGGGTATGTCAATCATCGTCGCAGCATCCGAAGGCGCGCCCCAAGATGACGTGCGTTAAATCGTCCTTCACCTCGCGAAACAGGTCTTCGGGTCCGCCGCACCGTGCCACAACATCCCTTTCGCTTTCGCCGCAAAACAACACAAAAGGGGCCTCCTCTGCGACATGCACACACTCCTTTTTGCCCATATGTCGGCACCTGCACCAGGCGAGGAAGTCTGCACGTGGACTTTACCGGACGTCGGCCTCGATCTAGACTCTTCGCCCGCCCTACATATATTAATCTTTTGGTTAACGAAGGGAGTTTTCTTGTGTTTGGGCCAATCAGGAGGGAGCGCAAGATGGTATGGATATATTGCAACTTGCGAAAATGTTCCGTGCCTGCCGCAACTGCTGGCTCGCGACTGCCAATATGCATGCCGGCTGTAGCATGTCTTTACCATTTACCCGGGATCTCATGGTCTTCGCGGCTCTTGCTCATGGGATTGGGGGTCTGGATGCAGGCGGTTTGGATGCGGGCAGTTGCCTTTTATACGATCACGTGAGAAAGATGTCTTCAACATCTCACGCTCCAGCTCACACAACACCGCGACCACGCTATCCGACATGAGAAGTCCTTTGACCTTCAGCACCTCCGCCCATAAACTACAAACCCATTCCGTCTTCGAATACTACCACCAGTCCTGATCTTTCCCGCTTCTGCTATCCACCGTTTACTCGCGCCAACCCGTGGCCTAGGTCTCTGTTTGTACCCTCCCTTATGCCACGTCCCATCACCCTCGTACTCGAACTCAATCCCCAACCCCCGTTTATCAGGATTATCGAATCTGTCCAGCCAGCGATTCAGTTGCGCATGGCTATCCTTCGCACCAGCGGTATACGACAGAATAACCCGTATCTTGCGCATCGGCACCGCATGACTGTCGTATGCCCCAGCGACCTCAAGTCCATCGTTGCTCAGCTTCTTCAGCTGAGCCTGCGACAGCCGGTTTAGGAACGTGACGACGGGTGCGAAGTTGTGGTTGCGCACTGTGGTTGTTATGACGGGTGCGTGGAAGAGGACGGCGTCGATGTACTCGGAGCAGATCTGTCTGTTTACTCCGGCGAGGCCGCAGCGTGTGATGATGTTAAGGGCCCCGGGTTTGAGCGTTGATGTGTTGTCGGATTCTAGGACGTGCTTGTAGATTTCATCTCGTAGCTCTTGCGGAAGGGCGAGGAAGGGAGGTAAGGTGGTGTAGATTGGACGTGGTTGTATGGGTGTGATGGCTTTACGCGCACGTTTCTTGGGCGCTGGCGCATTGTGGGTGTTGGGAACTGGGTTAGCGGCTTGCTCGTCCAGTTTGCGCTTTGAACGTCTGAGTTCTGGGGCTGTTGCTGTAGTCATTGTTTGGTTCTATATGGGATTCCATCAAGTTCTACACGTGTAGTGCTGGTTAACATATACTCACACCTCGCCAAGGCGGGCGTGGTGATCATCCAGGCAGCAGCAGGCAGCGACGAGGCCGTCAAGTGCTATGAGAGTCGGCCCGACTGCAACGGGTTCCTCCCAACACCAGCGGCCTCCAACTGCTTTCATCCGAAACACATCCAGTATCTCGTGTTACCATCGCTCTTATTGGAAGAAATGAAAAGGTATAGGTATCGCATTGATTGCGAAAGCTGTGATGGCTTGCTGCAGCCTGCCCACCAGATGCAACTCTCATCTCATCATTAGGCTCCCCTCACCGGCACTTCCTATGCGCCATCGCAGTACCAGTACAGGATTACCCCTCATCGTA